TCCCTGCATCCTGTGGGAGTGGGAGTGGTCCCTGCTGTGAGGGCCAGCACGCTGCCCCGGTCCCCAGCACATGGCACAATTGGAAACCATTAGCACAGTCTGGCATGCTGTGCCCTCGGGCACGCAGTTGTGTACTTTACCAAAGCACGGGTTCTGCAGGCTTTGCGCTGCTCCCAAGCGCTCCTGCCTGGACCCCCGGTACGGTATGTGGGCCTGGCTGCATGCTGAACTCTTAGTCACCACCGTGGGTCCCAACTGTGTGGGTTGTATTCAGTGGCTCGGTCCTGTCCAGCTTTCCCTCAGCCCAGACTTCATGGATCTTGTTCCTGACCATTGTCATTCTCTCTGTGCAGATGATTCGCTCTGTACTCTATCTTCTTGCTAAAGTCTCTGAAGATGATGCACGGTTGTTGAAGCTCTCTATGATACTTTTTTTCAGCACTGGGCTTGAACTCAGGACCTCAGGCTCTTAGCTTTTCCTGCTCAGCATTCTACCACCTAATCCATGCGACCAGTTGAGGCTTTTTGATGGTTTGAGATAAGAGTCTTGAGGATTTATCTTCATTAGGCTGGTTTTGAACCACTGTCCTCAGCTCTCAGACTCCTCCTGAGTAGATACTTGAGGCAACTCTATGACAGTCTGTTTCTCGGTAGCTTCATACTTTTGTCTAGGCTAGCCTTAGGCATCTCTCCTTCTGTCTCCCAAGTAACTGGGATGTACAAGCATCTGCCGCCTCCTCCAGTCCTCTGTATGACTAGATCTTCTGCCGACAGGACAGCTGTGGCTGTGACACTAGGCCCAGCTCATGTGTGGGTTGTGCACTGGTTTTGGCACATACCCCTGTTGATCTTTAGTCTGGCAGGTTCCAGGAAGTGAGCTGATGGCCGCTACTTCCTGTATTACCAGCACTTCACATACGGGTTCTTTATAAGTAGGGGCCTGCTGGGATCTGGAATGTATTGAAGTACACATCCATCTCCTTTCTGAAGCCTAAGGTGCAGTGACAGGTGGCATGGTGGAGCTCAGCTTGCTGTGCCCTCATGCTGAATTGGTCCTAGAGTTGGCTTCATCCAAGGGGGTTCCTTCCTTACCAGCCCTGCAGGCAGGGGCTGGCACATTTTACTCTTTGAGCTCTACTACCCTCAAGGACGAGCAGGCTGAAGTGGCTCTCCATAGAAACTGGACCTGACGGTCAGGCGGCAGGTGCACGTGGCCCGGGAGGCGGGAGTTGAGCCAGCATAGATGGGATTGGATGACAGACCGGCACCCAGGGTGAGCATGCAGGGGCTCGACTCCCCTGCCCCCTCCCTGAGCAGGCACTGTGAACTGTGACGTTAGGGGCTTCCTCATCTCCTGTTTTGGTCCTTCCCTGTTGTGTAACAAATATCCAGACTCAAGGCTGAGAATAGTCACCATCTAGCTGGGCGCCGGTGGCTCACACCTGTCATCCTAGCTACTTAAGAGGCTGAGATCTGAGGATCGCAGTTCAAAACCAGCCCGGGCAGGAAAGTCCGTGAGACTCTGATCTCCAATAAACCACCAGAAAACCAGAAGTGATGCTGTGGCTCAAGTGGTAGAGCACTTGCCTTGAGCTGAAGAGCTAAGGGATATCGCCCAGACCCAGAGTTCAAACCCCACAACCAATAAAAAAGAATAGTCCTCACCTCTGCCCTCAGCCCTGGGGTCAGGATCACGGACCCTGCCTTGCTGGGTCCCTGCCTTGCTGGGTCCCTGCCTGGCATCACCAGCTGCGCTCGGGGCTGACCCGGCCCAGGGCCTTCTGGAGCTTGGAGCATGACTCTTCCTCGGAGCCTCCTTGGGTTATCAGTCTGTGGTTCCCTCTTCCTTCTGACCAACACCGGGGAGCCGCGGGAGCCGCTCTCGGCTCTTGGAGGCTGGGACACGCCTCAGCCATGTGGCATCTTCCTTCAGGCCAGCAAAAGGCTCCCTCTAACCTCTAGACCCTCATGTAGGGGACTTGCTCAACTCGGTCAGTGACGAGGGACCTTCCTGATTTGTACACGTGGTGTAACCATGACAGGAGTGATGTCATGTCACTGTCCCACCCACACTGGAAGACGAGGTCTCTGCAGAGTGTGCACTGGGGGCCAGATTCTTGGGGAAAACCTTCTAGAACTGCTGACTGCTCCTGCTAGCCCTTCCCTTCCTCCTTTCTCCTTCCTTACATTCATTCTACTCCTTCCCTCTCCTTGCTGCCCCTCCTTATTGCTCTCCACCCGAGCTCAAGGGCTGAGCTGCTTGCTGTCACAGTCCTTGCCTACTCTGTGTGAGCTTGGAAAGGAGCCAGTGTGCGCCGAGCCCCCACCCAGGGCCCCGGAGGCAGCCGTGACCACAGGGCGCCCACGTGACCACAGCTGCTTTGCCGCCTCACCCCCTCTCCAGCCTCGGGACCTCTGTGGACCTCTGCAAGGCTCTTTACAGAGTGTGACTGCTCTGGAGCTTTTGAAACAGCAGTGACGTATGCGTTGGTGTGCAGCCGTGCCTGAGCTAAGGGGGCGCTCCACCTGAGCAGCCTGAGCTAAGGGAACGCTCCACCTGAGCAGCCTGAGCTAAGGGGGCGCTCCACCTGAGCAGCCTGAGCTAAGGGGGCGCTCCACCTGAGCTAAGGGAGCGCTCCACCTGAGCAGCCTGAGCTAAGGGGGCGCTCCACCTGAGCAGCCTGAGCTAAGGGGGCGCTCCACCTGAGCAGCCTGAGCTAAGGGGGCGCTCCACCTGAGCAGCCTGAGCTAAGGGGGTGCTCCACCTGAGCAGCCTGAGCTAAGGGAGCGCTCCACCTGAGCAGCCTGAGCACTCGCTCGTTTGGAGCACTGGTAGAGGAACCACTCATGATAGAGCAGATTTCTTAGGAGAACATGACAGCCTCGACAGCCGTCAGGTCCGGTGTGGTGGCACATACCTGTAATCTAGATATCCAGGAAACTGAGGCAGGAAGATGGAGGGTTCCAGACCAGCCTTCCTCCTCTACAGGGGAAGAGGAGGAGGACTGAGCCAGTTTACAGTGCAAATGGGGGAGGGGTGTCGGCACTATCGGGGGCCCTCCTGGCTGAGCCCCATGCAGCATACCTAGCCTTGGTATTGGCTGTTTCCACTGGCCAGCCGCCTAGTGTCCCCGTAGCCCATGTTAGGACAATTTAGGGAGCAGTGAGTGTGCAAATCTGTCCGTGGAGCTGTGGGCAGCAGAATTTCTGGGGTAGCCCAGCCTCCTGGCTGTTTTGTGCCATAAGGTAGGAACAAGCCGGAGACTCGTGAACTGTGAGCCAGTGTGGACGTAAATGGCAGTTGTCAGCATGGCTGCCTCGTTAGGCGGCTCGTAGAACCGTGCGGGCCTTGCAGGTTGCTAGGTCGAGGCAGACCCATGAACTGCAAGGCCCAGAGCCCACGCTGTGCCTTGTTTCCTGCGGGGAGCGTGGCTCCTGCACGGAATGAGGTCAGCGGGTCTGCTGGCGGGGACTGGGCAGAAGTCTTGCAGAGTGGGTCAGAGGCCTGGGGTCTGGCAGCCTTTCCAGGCTCTGTTTTCTGCCCTGTAAGGGTCGGGGTCGAGCTGGGGCCTGACCCCAGAGCGGCTGCAGGAAACGCTGGCGTGGTCTGATGATGTGCTTAGAATGAGAGCTGAGCGTTGGGTGCAAATGATGATGACACCGTCCATCGACCTGTCCGGGTGCCCTGAGATGTCTGCTGATGCCCGGGCCGCAGAAACCCCATCCTGGGGTGCGTGTATTTCCTGGTCATTTGAGCCTGTGACAGAACGTTAACTGGACCAGAGTAGGACACTGACAGTGACATACAGCATGCCTTAGCAACCTCAGTGCAGGATTTTTTCTTACTTTTTCTTTTTCTTTTTGTTGGTCATGGGGCTTGAACTCTGGGTCTGGGCGCTGTCCCTCAGCTCCTTAGCTCAAGGTAGTGCTCTACCACTTGAGCCACAGCGCCACTTCCAGGTTTTTCAGTTTATGTGGTGCTGAGGAATCAAATCAGCACTCTACCCCTAAGTCACCTTCCCAGCCCTCCACCTTTTCATTTTAAGGGACACTTTATGGCTTTTCTCTGGCCTGTCCAATTTGCAAGCGTTGCTGTTCTTGGAGCTCAGAGCTGTTCCTGAGCGGAGGCCCGGTGAAATGACAACTGTGATATCCTGACACCCAGTGACCACCGGCCACATGGCCTTGGTGGCACGGGTGCCAGGCACACGGCCTGCACAGCATGGATATGCTGATGGAAAAGATGGCTCCCACCCGAAGCTGGGTGGGACAGGACAGTGCAAGTTTTCATCTCACTACTCAAAGCACTGTACAATTTAAAACCTAAAAATGGAGCTGTGGGGGGGAAGCTGGAGGGGGAGGTAAAGTAGGAGAAAAATGAGGGAAGGGGTAACAAGTTTGGGAAGCAATGTATTCTTACCTTACTTATGTAACTATCACCCCTCTGTACATCACCTTGACAATAAAAAAAAAAAAAAAATGGAGCCGGATACTGGTGTTTCAGGCTGTAATCCTAGCTTCTCAGGAGGCTAAGATCTGAGGGTCATGGTTGGAAGTCAGCCTAGGCAGGAAAGTCTGTGAGATTCTTCTCTTCAATTAACCACCAAGCTGCAAGTGGATGTGTGGTTCAAGTAGTAGAGTGGTAGCCTTGAGCGGAAGAGCTCAGGGTTACCACCCAGGCCCTGGGTTCAAGCCCCAAGACTGGCAGACATACAAATGCATGTGTACACACACACACACAGAGTTAAAAATTGAATTATTTCTAGGATTTTCCATGTCATGTTTCAGCCTTTATTGGGTCACAGGTAACTACAACCTTAGAAAGTTGGATCAGGGAGCTGTGTGTTCCCTCAGCAGCGTTTTTAGTTCGTGTGAGCCTGTGCCTCATGGCTATGTGTTTGTTCAGCTCTAAACAAGGTTTTCTCCCACAGCGTCGTTAGTCATGTACCCAGGGCTGCCGCTGGTCTGTCTTCTAATGAGATTTCCGGGTCTGTTTTCAGGCGGAGGCCAGGCTTGCAGCGAAGCGTGCTGCCCGGGCCGAGGCTCGAGAGATCCGAATGCGGGAGCTGGAGCGGCAGCAGAAGGAGGTGAGCCGGGGTCTGGGCGGGTCTGTTGAGGGTGGGTTCAGGTCAGGGCGGCGGGCAATTGCAGAGGCACCTGTCCCCTCCGAGGCTCTAGTTGGAATGTGTTTGCCGGGGTGGCTGCTGTCCAAGGTCAGCCCAGGGGTGCACATAGCATGGATGCCTCCCGTGCCTACCCAGCCCCGGGCCAGCCTGGGTCTGAAGAGAGGGGAGGGAAGGGGAGGGGACGGGAGGGGAGGGGAGAAGAGGAGAGGCAAATCCCAGCCCAGCTTTCCGGGCCAAGCTTCGAGCTCTAACTGTTGAACTAGAGGCTCTGAATTAAAGCCAGAAAGAGCAGATTGGTTGTTTTTGCCTAATTGACCAACTTGTTCGCTTACAAATGCCTTACCTGCGTCTTACACATGTGGAATAGCTAGATGGCACAGAAAGGAACTGTTGGGTCTGTGTGGGGCTTTTTAGCTCACTTTAGGACAGCAATCTTTTCATGTCCTTCCAGATAGTGAGGCAAAGGGACCCCGCGACGTAAGCTCTTCCTGTTAAGTAGCTGTGAACGTAACGTGTTGGCCAAGGTGACTGGCCATGTCTAGGGCTGATTTTCGTCCACAGGCTCTGCTTGGGCCCACACAGCCCGGAAACCCTAGCAGGCGTTCACCTTGGGTGCTTTCAGATAAAAATCTGACTTTTACTTTCTCCTCCAGTGACTTCCGTGCTAGGACCAAGCTGGTCACAGTTGTGTTCTCTGTAGGGTTGGCTGGCCCCGGCCTACACCGCTCCTTGCTGTCCCGTGAGGTGTGCAAGCAGAGGAGGGGCGTGGCTGTGCTTGATTTGGGGAGAGCGCTTATCAGGTAGTCTGAGAAGGGGTGTAGAGCCGGGGACCCCTGCCACAGGGGGCAGTCATCCCATGGTCCTGTTGGGAGGGAAAAGCGGCTCACTAGGAAGGGCTTCAGTGCTGGGGTCTCCAGGGACACGGCACCTTAGAGCCTGGCCCTCCTGCCATGGTGACAGAGTGACCTGCGTGGCCAGGTAGCCAGGCAGCACACTCACCTGCGTCTGAGCAGGGCTCCGAAAACGCTTGCACCTGCTCAAAGGGATCACAGTGCTCCCTGTCTTCCCTCAGGGACTGTAAATACCATTGTAAGTTGCAGCTGCTATGTTACTGTGCCTTACCGTTTAATATTGCTGGTTTCTTTCTCTCCTATTGACTCAGAGAAGCAGGGTTAGCGTTTTTCCCGATTCCAATCTCCTCTCAAGTCATATGTATTATTTCCAAATAGAAAAAGGAAAGGCGCTCCTAGGTTTTCACGTGAGTTATTTGGACTCCACGGTCTGCAGCAGCTTCCTGTTCCTGCTGTTTAACTGAAGCCCCTCCCCTTGCCCTCCTAGCCAAAGCAAGGGGCAGAGCTATCCTGAGCCAGGCTCAGGATCGAAGGCCCTTCAGGAAGCACCACACACACAAACAGTTGGACTGGGAAGTGTGGGGGGGGGGGGGGGGAAGGGGGGACAATGAACTAGACTCTGTTGTGTTTTAGGCCACTCCACCTGGTTCCCGAGGCAGCGCCGGCACGGGTGCCATCCCTACACCTCGCACCTCTGCTCAGAGTGCCTGCGCAGGCCTGCTGCAGTGGAGCTTCTATTGCCAGTTGGTCCTCTAAGAAACTATTTTAATCGTATTTCCATCTGCATCTTTTTTATTAGCTTTAGTTGTACGAAAGGGTTTCAGTTCAACGTGTCAGCTCCTCCATGCTTACCTACACGTGCGAAGGGGCCTGTGTGTACACGCTAGGCGAAGGGTGAGCTGCTGGTGGCCTGAGCCGGGGCCTGACGCCCTCACTACCCAAAGCCCGGGCTATTATTAGCACCAGTGAACATGGCTGAGCTTGTGCCATCTGATAGCCTGCACGCTGACATTTTGAGTTGTTGAATAAGGGGAAATGAATATGCTCAGGAAGACCCGTGTTTAACTAGTAGGGTTCGTATTTTGATGGAAAAACTGGGAAACTCCACCTTGTCTTCCTGCCCACGTGGAGCTTCTGAGTAGCCCTGGTGTTCCCGGAGGGGTATCATCGGCCCAGAGCTCCGAGTCCAGCTAGGCGTTGCGGAAGGGGCCATGCTGAGAGCCAGAGTTAGGGTCCCCAGGAAGCCCTGTATGAGAAGTGGCGAAGGGAGCTATGTTGGGGTACTGGCTGGTCATCAGGCCTCTCCAGACCCAGGCAGCCCCAGCCACCCTACACCTTGATTTATCCGAACCCTCAGTGCCTCTCTGCAGACACGGACAGGCTGCAGCCGCCTGACCCTGGCTCTCTGGCTGTTTGAGAGGGCATGGACGCCTACTTTCAGTGGGCTCACTAGGAGAAGATAACTTGCACACACCCTTCAGGAAACCCCAGTGAATCCTGAATTCCAGGGGCGAGCCGATGCTGATAGAAAAAGACAGGGCTCGGAGTATGACCTGTTGCTACTGAGACGATAAACCTTTTTCAGCTGAGGTGCCGTGTTTATTTATAGTCACAATATTGAATGTGTGCACCTGTGCGCCCACGCAAGCCTAGAAACTTGGTGTTTCCAGCCCTTCACTCTGACTGGCCTGGACAGGACTGGCACTGTGTACGCTTTGTTGAATAAATACAAATAAACAGGCAGCTCATTTCATCTAGTGTCACTGCGTAATTAGAAGAAGGCTCTACAGCAAAGCAGTCATGTCACCGAATGGTAATAACCTCCTTCGAAATAGGGCAGTTGCATCCTAAAGACCTCTGTAATTTGCTGGAGTTCCTCTGGTATTCTGTACACATCCGTCTGGATCCGAACACTGAAGTTTCATTCTTCTGTGTTTGGGAGCTGACCGGTGGACTGTAATTTACGTCACTGCACTTTCTGCTTGAATTTTGTTATTTTCAGAAGAATATCTCATACTGTTTCCCACTAGTGCCAGTACGTTATAGTTACTTCTGCATTAGGAGTTATTGTAATAACCAGCCCGATTCTGGCAGACATGTTTTACCAGGGTGTCTAAGTTGGGATGTGAGTGAATGACACCATGATGCTCTTCATTGGACTTCACACGCTCTTGTGCTCGGCTTACCCCCATTGCAGGGACCCCAGTGTGGCCTTTCCTCACATTTCTGGTTATTTACAGAACCTTCTGCCTGATGCTCCTGTGGCTCTAATTGGATTTTCTGTTTTTCTCCTGTCTCTCTGTCCTTCTCTGTAGATCTATCAGGTTCAAAAGGTAGGCTCATTTTATCCTTCATTTTCTAATCTGCATGGACTGGTGTTTTTTCCTTGCTGAGATCTTGTCACCTCTGAAGAACCACGCCTTGCACTGAAGATGGCTGCCGGCCTCCTTGTCTGTGGGCTTGTCTGCGGAAGCATGCTCCACCATGGGAAGCAAGCACCCCTCTCCACCCCCATCCCTTGAGGAATTAAACTTAGAAAGCAAATTCTAAGCCAACCACTAGTGGCTTGCTCCTGTCATCCTAGCTACTCAGGAAGCTGAGACTGGAGGATCACAGTACAAAACCAGCCTGAGCAGATAAGCCTGTGAGACTTACCGACAATTAACCACCAAAAAGCCAGAAGGAGAACTGTGGGTCAGGTGCTAGAGCACCAGCCTTGAGTAGAAAATCTCAGGGATAGCACCCAGGTCTGAGTTCAAGCCCTAGTACTAGCACAAAAAAGAGAAAACAACAAAAATTCTAGCACAAAAGTCATTTCAGAATTTGAAGAACCTTTTCAAAGCAAAGATTCAAAGAAATCTTTCCACATAGCTTTATTAGAAAGACTTCAAAAAAACCAGTGTACCTTACCACACATGAAGAGACTCCTGGATATTGTTTTTTAAATCCAAATGAGAAAGGAAATGGAAATACAGCCATACAGTTCCCCGGCTGAGTCTTAGACAGTGTGTGTCTCTGCCCCTAGCTGTCGTGGGGGCAGCTGAGGTTTAGAATGAAAAGGCCAAACACAGAAAACCTAGGGAGAACCACATCCGCGCCCCAGGGGAGCCACTGATGCCCCGAGAATTTATGCAGCTGAACAAAGTACATTTCCGGTAGATGAGTCCAGTGTGTTTCCCAGTAGGGAAATGCATCCCGAGCCAGAGCTCCAAACCATCTGCAGAGTCCAGGGAGAAATGAGCAGGTCCAGGGCTGGGCTGGTGGCCTCAGGGTCACTGGTGCAGGGCAGGGAACACTGCTGTCCCTGACCCACCCCGGGGACCCAGCTGGCCATCTCCACTTGCGCCCTCCCTGTCCTGCCCAGGGCCACTGCAGGGCTTTCTGTTGAGGCACACCCCTGATACAGTGAGAAGGTGAACTTATGTAGGATGCACAGCTGGAGAGACCTCCGGAAGTCCACAGCCAGAGGACACACACACACACACACACACACACACACACACACACACACACGTGGGAGGGAAGGGAAGGCTTTCCTTACCAAAGTAATCCAGGATGAGGGACAGGGCGGCTGGCATTTCTCCCAGCCCAGTGGGCCACTGTGTGTACATGGTCTCTCTGGAAACAAAGCTGGTTCTGGGAGCTCAGCGCCTTCCAAAGCAGTCTGCCCCTCGCTCCCCTCTGCATGACTCACTGCTACATCCTAACCTGTATTTGCTCTGGAGGGCCGGGCTGGTGCGGTTGGCTGAGGCTAGGGCTGCACTGGGCACGGGGCTGGGCACGGGGCAGGCACTAGGCACTGCGGTTTCCAGACTGCTCTCCCCCATGACGGATGTGGGAATGCGGCTGGGGTTACAGCTCCCCGAGCCAGGTGAGAGAGCATGAATACTGTTCTTAGTGTAACCACACACAAACATCAGCATGGATTGTGGCAAAGGAAAAATATAAAACCAGAAAAACTGGTAATACAGACTTCTTTTGGAATCTGATTAACTCGTGAATACACACAGATTTCCTCTGTAAAAAGAGCAATTTTCCTTCTATTTCCTTGTGATTAAACTCGAGAAGAGATAAAGATAAAGCAGGCATGAGGGCTTCCTTCTTACTCCT